GGGCCGAGACCCTTCATCATTTTCTGAAGGGTCTAGGCCCGAAACGTCAGCCTTTCTGCTCCTATGATGCTGCTTGGCCTGCTGTGTTCATCCAGCCCTGCACCTTGTTGTCTCGGATTCTCCAGCATCTGCAGTTCCTACTATCTCTAGCTCACTTGGCCATTTCAGAGGGTAGTAGGGAATCAATCACATTGCTGTGGGCCTGGAGTCACATGTAGGGCAGTAGATTCTCCTTCCCTAAAAGGCGTGAGGGAACCAGATGGGCTTTCCCCACCCCTGACAATTGGGACTCATTTCATTCAGAAATTCTCGACATTTTAACCTGCCCTGGTGGGATTCGAACACAAGTTCCCTAAAACGTGAGCTGGCGCGAATAAGATAGCAACGATGCACGGCTAGGCCGGGATTCCTGATAATTTGTTCGGTTTCACCGCAGGGCACAAAAAGCAGCCTGCGCGATGGTTTTGAGAATCTCTCGGGACCTGTTGTGTATTCATCAGTCCGTCCACGTCAAGGCTAATTGTGGGTGGAGACCGTCTAGACTTGCGCAGTGAGTGCGGCCGGGAGAGCATTCGGTTTCCGGGTAAAGTATTATGGAACGTTGCGGTGTGTTACATTGTAATTGTCAGATGTTGCAATTTCAGAGGGTCATTCATACATTCGGCGCTGCAATGTGGAGGGAGGGGTGAGCTTTCCCAGCCCGGGATCGGGTTGCACGTTGTATTTTCTCCCGGTTTTTCACACACACACACACAAAGGCGCACGACATTGCAACGTGCTATAGCCAGCCACGGAAGGGATAAGGCTCGGAGACAGCATGGTTTGTTTTTTTTTTAACCCCCCCCCCACCGAGAGCTGTGAGTTCTGTTTATCCGGGCCGCTCTTCCATGCCTCGGGCTGCGGAACGACCAGCTCCAGCTTTCGTCCTCATCTCTTGCTTCTCATGGAAAGGTCCAGTCAGTAAACTGTGAGGCGTTTGATTTGGCCACTTCCCGAGTTTCGGAATCCGCCGACATTTGTGATGTGGAGGTGCCGGTGTTGGACTGGATTAGACAAGGTCAGAGGTCACACGACACCAGATTAAAATCCTCGACAGGTTTATTTGAAATCACAAGCCTAGCTAAGCTTGTGATTGTGATTTCAAATAAATCTGTTGAACTGTAACCTAGTGTCTTGTGACTTCTGACCTTGTCTAAATTTGTCTGAGTTTAATGATAACTTCTAGCAGTTTAATAGTTTATGTAGGATGTACAGTTCGAGGCTTTAATGTCTAAACCGATTAATCGAGTCCATTATGGGTCAAAGAATTGGATTTTTTTTTAAAAAAAAGCGAGTACAGCTAATGGGGTTGGCGATAATGCTTTAGCATGAACACTGTTCTGAAGTGTCACTGGATCAGAGATGCTGCCAAACCTGCTGAGCTTTTCCAGCAATTTCTGTTTATGCATTGGCATGGATTAGTTGAGATCGAAAGTAGGAATAAATTGATCATTTTCGTAATAAGATGTGACTGCTGGTATGTTTCAAGAATGGGTGCTTAATTATTTACAATTTATTTTAATAACTTAGATGGAGTAGCCCAGTAATGTATCCCGTTTGCTGACGTTGCAACGTGAGGTGGGGACTTAAGCAGTGAAAAAAATTATCAAGTCTGCAAAGCAAGGGAGACAGATTAAATGAGCTGGCAGGTGAAGTACAGGGGACATTTTGCAACTCAATAGCCAAGGTCTTTTCCCCACGGTCTGAAGGGGAGGCCACAGCTGGAAGCCATATATTTAAGGTGAGATGGGAAAGACTTAAAAGGGGTCCGAGGGGCTACTTTTTCACAGAGAGGGTCGATGAGCTGCCAGAGGGCATGTTAGAGGCTGGTGCAAATACAATATTTAAAAGGCATCTGGATGAGTACATGAATAGAAAGGGTTTAGAAGGATGTGGGCCGAAGACTGGCAAATGGGACTAGGTCAGTTTAGGATGTCTCATCAGCATGGACAAGTTGGACTGAAGGGTCTGTTTCTGAAGGGGAGGTGATGGCCTAGTGATTTTATCACTACACCCTAAATCTGGAGACCCAGGTAATATTCTGGGGACCTGGGTTCAAATCCTGCCAGGGCAGATGTTGGAATCTGAAGTCAATAAAAATCTGGAATTTAGGATCTAATGATGACCATGAAAGCATTGCCAATTGTCGGAAAAACCCATCTGGTTCACAAATGTCCTTTATGGAAGAAAATCTGCCATCCTTACCTGGTCTGGACTGCATGTGACTCCAGACCCATTGTAATATTGTAGGGCGGCATGGTGGCTCAGTGGTTAGCACTGCTGCCTCACAGCGCCAGGGAGCCGGGTTTGATTCCACCCTCAGGCAACTGTCTGTGTGGAGTTTGCCATTCTCCCCGTGTCTGCATGGGTTTCCTCCAGGTGCTCTGGTTTCCTCCCACAGTCTGAAGATGTGCAGGTTACGTGGATTGGCCATACTAAATTACCCCACAGTGTTCAGGGATGTGTAACTTAGGTTGGTTATAGGGGGATGGGTCTGGATGGGATGCTCCAACGGTTGGTGTGGACTTGTTGGGCCGAAGGGGATTCTATATGCTATAATATGGTTGACTCTTGACAGCCTTCTGGGCATTAAGGAAACGGCAATAAATGCTGCCCTAGCCAGTGATGGCCGTAAATGAATATAGAAAGAACTCTATGACTCTAAGTGAGGGTAGTAAGCAGAATATGTTTTAGAAAAGGAATTAGTGTCCTATATGAAATGTTCCGAGTTAACATTGTTTTGCAGCAGGCCAGTTTAGGGAGGCAAATAGTAGGTGTTTGGGCAACAAGAGTGGAGAGGAATTGTACAGGTCTTTGATGAGAGTAGATCTGGAGAACGTTGTACAACGAGTTGATATACTCTTACAGATGGTGCAACAAAGAGTGACTGGGATGCTTCCTGGAATTCAAGATTGTCCTATGAAGAAAGACTAAGAACATACTGTCTGGAATTTAAAAGAATAGGGGGTAATCTCATCGAAACATAAGATTTTGAGGGGACTTGACAGAGAAGATACTGAAAAGCTGTTTTCCCCCAACTGAAGAGTTTTTAGAACGAGGAGTCACAGAACAAGACACTGGCTATTTTAGGCAACAAGGTGCAGGGCTGGATGAACACAGCAGGCCAAGCAGCATCATAGGAGCAGAGAGGCTGACGTTTCGGGCCTAGACCCTTATGCTTGAGGGGGAGCTTTCTTTACTTGGATGATCTTCGATCATTTGCCCAGTTGCTGGAGCTTCTCATTCATCTTAACAAGAAATTGTTGCGTTTGTGCTGTTTATTTTGAATGAACGTCAATATTGATAATTCATGTTGTGAGGAGCAGTATCGTTCATCAGGAGGAGTAGGGCCAATCAGAGACTAAAATTGCAATTTACATCTTTATGACGGCTGTAAGGCAGAAAATACAACTGAGACTCAAGAAGAATACTGCAGGTTTTGGTGGGTGAGGTTTGGGCTGGTGAAAAAAAGCAACTAAGAGGAGCTACAAGAAAAGCTGGCAGCTATCTTAAAGGGAAATCCCAAAGTCATCTACAAGCATGCAAACAGAGAGCAGTTAAAGGAGAACAGGGCTGATCAGAGACCACTTGGCTTGATGGTAATGGTGGATCGGGGTGGTATGCTGGACCATGAGGTTGGTGTTGATGGCCCACAATGCCTCATGGATGCCCAGTCTTGAGTTTTGAGGGAACTAGACGTTATTCAATATAATTAACATATTGCACAAACTTGGAAAAGTAACTGTTTAGTGAAAACAGTGAGTATGAGGATGGTTGTGAAATATTTCTTTCCACAGTCCTGTGTTAACTTTAACTCTTTTATAGTTTAAAAAATGTTAGAGAAATTCTTTCTATTTTTATATTTCTGGTAAGCTTTCTGTTGTACTCTCATTTTCCCTTCCCAATTCATTTGTTTTTTCGTAATTGTTCACTTTTTTATGTTCTGTCTAGTTTTCTCACTTGCCATATTTTTGTGCACAATTACATGCATTTCTTGAAGTTCCATTGTTAACTTGAATCTTTCTCACTCGCCACAAATGGTCGGTTTATCCCAAGGAATTCATTGTGTGACAATTCTGTGCCTTTAAGAGAGGTGGGTTCAGTCCTGTTTCTCTTGCAGAGCGGTATTGTCACAGAGGTGCTGAAATGTCTTCCTCAGACATGCAGTTGGTAAACCATTGGGTTCTCCTTGCGTGTTTTTTTAATGTGGAGGTGCCAGTGTTGGATGAGGGTGGACAAAGTCAGGAGTCATACGACAGGAGGTTATAGTCCAACAGGTTTATTTGAAATCCCGAGCTTTCGGAGTGCATGCCATTTCAAATAAACCTGTTGGACTGTAACCTGGTGTCGTGCAACTCCTGAATTTGCTTTTTTTTTTAAATAAGGCAAAAGAATCATGCTCACACAGACCCAAAAAGGATTTTGGTTGTGCTCTTAGTTAGTTGAGAATGTTACTGGAGTTTTTTGTTGCTAGAATGATAGACTTTGCTGTTCGATGAGAGGCTTCCTTTTAAAAAACAATAGGGGCAGATAGTTTCTTCTGGACTTGAGAGAGATAGCACATGAGAATAATAACTGTGTTGCTGAATTGCCTTTGCCAAGGTTGTGTTTATGGGATGCTACCTATATTCTAACAAGTTGATGATTTAGTGGTTAAATAATACATTATTTTGTTAAGTACTTCCATAAAGTAGAGTCATACCAATTCTTCTTTTTGTTGCATTTTAACTGTGTTGTAAGAAAAAAGTGTGTTTTGATTAAAGCTTAGTGGTAAACCGTTCGAATCAAATCTGGAACACGGTTCCTTACACTTGCCTGATTAAAAAAAAATGCAGGTTAGGGTCCAGGCTATTTCCATAATATGCTTTGGAGGGTCTGGTCTGATTCTACCTACTCTATATGTTCTGAAATATCCCCTAAATGCCTGCCACTTCATTTCCTCTCTTGATCTATTCTTCAGCATAATTTGCCAGTTCACTTTAGCCATCTCTGCTTTCATGCCCTCATAATTGCCTTTTTATAAACTTTGAAGAAATAGTCTCAGACCTACACCTCTCTTCCTCAAACTGAAATGTCAAATTCAGTCACGTTATGATCACTGCTGCTTAGGAGCAACTTAATTAATGATCTCAAAATGTATCCTATCTTGTTGTACAATGCCAAATTTAGTGTAGCTGGCTCTCTGATTAGCCCCAGAACATGTAGTTCTAAGAAACTATCCCCAAAAATTTTTTTATGAACGTCTCATAAATGCTACATTTTCCCATCTGACTTTTCCAGTCTACGGAAAGATTAAAATCTCCCATGACTTTTCCTATGCTTTTATGATAAGCTCCTGTAATATGTTCTTTTATGCTCCACCCTATCGTGTAGTCAATGTTTAGAAGTCTATGCAGCACTCCCATGAATGACTTCTTGCTTTTATCATTCCTCATTTCTACTCAAACCATTTCCACATCCTGGCTTCTTGAGCTTTGGTCATCCTCTCTGGTGTACTAATAACGTAATTAACTAACTGAGCCATCCTTGTATCTTTTCCTTGTT